ATGGTATCCCACAGCAAGCTGAGCTTGGTCTCCATAGACACTTTAATCACCTGTTCCCTATTTGTGTGAGAAAGAGTTCTTGTAACCATTATGGGAGATTTGTCTCCAGGGAGCTTCATGACTGACTAACTATCTCCTGGTTCCAGGTGTTTATCTTTTCTACTCCCCTATTGGCCCCATAGGAAAGGAAAATCCCCCAAACCAGAGCCTGTTTGATCATTAATTTATTTATCTGACTGTTACTAGCTGTTTATTTCTACCAGTGACTTCCCTTCAAACTGAGCAATTACTAAGAATCTGGAACAGGAAGTAAGGAAAGCATAAACAATAACAGCTTTGATTATGATTATTATAGTCACTGTATTATTTTCTCATCTAACCAGCGACCCTTTGGACAAAACTGTGCTGGGGGCAGCTTTATATTAAATACGTAGTGTAGATAATGATATTGAGGTTCACAGAGGTAGAGTGAGAAAATAAAACAAATCAAAGACAAGAACTCATGTTAGCCAATTCCAAGGTCAGTAGCATTATTTTCCTATACCGCATCCTTGAAGAAAATTCAACCTTTCGGCAAAGCACTGAAGAAGAATCTCCAAGTAGGGTATTTTTTTTCCTTGTTGGAATGAATTTCTGATTTGAGAATCACTCAACAGGGTAGTTTTACTTGCTTCACTCAACAGGAAGCAAGGTATCCCGTTAGTTCAAAACTAACAGTGAAAATTTGGGAAGACAGAGTGGACCAGCAAAGTTCATCAAAGCAGTCACTTATCCATTGGTTTTTCTAGAGGTTAGCCTTAAGCGTTTAGAAGTTTTTCTTGTATTTTTGTGATCCGATCAAAGGGTACATATCAGAAAACATGTGGAGATCCTGCTGGAACATCTGCATTTATTACATAGTATAGTGGAACGTCACAGAGAGCACTTTATCCTTCCGGTGACAGATATGAGATTGCATAACTTTGAAAATGTTATTCTGGTTATTACAAGCTGAAAGGTTTTTCTTAAAAATGTAATAATGTTTCTTATCTTGATAAAATCTATTTTAAACTAAAAAATCTAGTAAGCCATCAATATGAGAACATTTTAATATCACTGCCCATATTATATTTAGAATTGAAGTGAAACAAAGGTGTAGGGAATATTGCTCAGAATCCAACTTTGAAGTACACTAAAATAAATGGAGACGTGGAAAAAATTACACAGAGTTCATGAGGAGACAGAGGAATGAGAACATCTGAACTCCAGATACTTTTCCACCACGAACAACTTACTTGATCTTGGACTCCAGTATTTTGTAAATTACTAGGTGGGCTGGTGACTTAGTATAAGGTAAATGTAAATAGGATCATTCTCCATGATATATAGATATACCTATTCACATACATATAAATAAACCTATGTAAATATGCCATGAATAGTGAGCTACAAATAAATTGTAATATATTTATAAATTAGATACAGTTCTGATATACAGATAATGTATAAAATATATTATTGATATATAGATAACGTATAAAATATGCAAATTATTTATATGTACCAACCCTTGGGATGTATAAAAGTTTAATTGATTCAATGGTTAAGCAAAGTTTGATGGCTTTATTCCACCAAGAGTTATCTTGGAATAAAGCTTGATTTATTTGTGTATCAAAAATAAGTTGTTAAAGCACTACAGAGCATCATTTTATTCTAACATGATGGAGTTAGCGCAGTTTAAATCGACTCAACAGCAACTGTTGGTCGTGTTTTTTTTTTCTACTAAGTCATTATCTAAATATTGAGCAACAGATAGAAATTTTTGATAATTTATGTAGGGAGAGAAAAAACTAACGTAAAACACACTTTTTATAGTAACAAATTGATACGTTTTTATACTGATTATAATTACAAAGCCGTGTCTAAAGAAGAATTGTGGATTACTTCCAGGAAGCATTGTTTTGGTTATTGTAGCCATTAGTAAAAATTAATATACAAGAAAATTTTAATATCTCAATATACTAAATAATTTGTGCAGCAGGAATTAAACTCTTAAATGTCTTCTAATCTATATGTGGTGTAACTAAGATTTTTGAATGTAAAATAAAATAGGTGTCATTTGGCAATGTACTAGGATTTCCAAATGGAAGTGGAAATTCCATAATATTCTTTTATTCAAATTTCAATAAACACCTAAATAACTCATCATCATCATAGTTAATATATAAATATTAATTGTGTCCTTTTGGCTGTAAAAGATGGACCCAAGGTAACTCCCACTAAGAGAAGGAAGGATATTAGGGGAAAATATTTCAGTGGTCTTATGACACCACCCTGTATGTTATTAATCACAGGAAGCCCTCCTTGACTTCACCTATACAACAAATTCTCATGGGTTATACATACATTTGTTGACATGATGTCTAGAGTGTGTATAATGTTATTTGTACCATCATGCAGATGAGTAAAGGGAGGCCAATATAAGTTAAAGAAAACCTATAGTCAGTGAGGAACTAATTTGTGCTCTTACTTGATAAAACTGGACTGGGTATTCACATAGGTACAGAGAAAAATAACTTGGAAATATTAAGGAAAGTATAGAATGGATAGAAGGGTAAAGAGACCTTATAAGAAAGCAAATGTAATAAAAGACATTATAAAATGTTTCTTACATTGTTATCTGGAAGCCCTATTCTAGCTCATTCATCTCAACCATCCCCTGACTAACTTAATCTCTATGTTCAAATCATACATAAATATTTACACATTTGTCTTATTCATCAATTTCATTAGATAGTAGACACTGGAAAACTAGAGCCTGTGTTTTTTTAATGCCCCCTCAATTTTTGTAGTCTGGGGTTTGTATCCAAAAGTCTCCAGTCAAGACCTCTGCCTAAAATAATTATTTTTTTGAAGTTTTCATTCCTTGTTCATTGCCTTCTAATGGTTGACGTTATGTGGCAAATAATATATTTTCTATATCTATTATGTAAAGTGAAACTATTTTTGCTAGGAATGTGTTTTATTTAACAGTCTTTCATTATCATAGGATGCTATTCTTGAAACAATCAAAATTAAAAAAAAATTCCAGCTGACATAAAATTGGTTCAATTTGAAATCCTTTTAATTGAGAGTCTAACCCATTTTTGTCACCAACTAATCTCATTATTTTGCATTAGTCCTTTTGCGTGGCTTATCTGTAATCTATGAAAGTGGGCCTTTTGATTAGATAGCCTTGGAAAATCTTTTGACTGTAAATCCCATTATGGTAACAACAAATAATCATCAACTTTTATTTTTATAACCATTCTTTAGCTCCTGAAAACAATTGCTGTCAAGTTAAAATGAGACAGATATTGAACATGCTCAGAGACCTCAGTCTGTTCTCTCATTACAATTGTGATTCCGGTTTCTCGTTGTTAAGGAACAGCCACAAAATCCTCCATGACCCCAACGGAGAACCGTACAGAGGTGACGGAGTTCATTCTGGTGGGGTTCACCAATGATCCAGGAACGCAGATCCTGCTCTTCGTAACTTTTTCCCTCATCTACCTCATCAGTCTGGTTGGGAACCTGGGGATGATCCTGTTGATCATGTTGGACTCCCGTCTCCACACTCCCATGTACTTTTTCCTCAGCAACCTCTCTCTGGCTGACTTTGGTTACTCCTCAGCTGTCACTACCAAGGTCATGGCAGGGCTTCTCACAGGGGACAACGTCATCTCCTATCATCATTGTGCCGCTCAATTCTTCTTTTTCGTAGCTTTTGCCATTACGGAAAGCAACCTTTAGGCTGTCATGGCTTGTGATCGGTATGCAGCAGTGTGCAAACCCCTTCATTACACCACCACTGTGACAACAACTGTGTGTGCGTGTCTGGGCATAGGCTCCTATGTTTTGGGTTTCCTGGATGCTTCCATCCACACTGGGAACATTTTCAGGCTCTCCTTCTGTAGGTCCAATGTGATTGATCACTTTTTCTGCGATGCTCCTCCCCTTCTGGCTATCTCATG